GCATTGGCACCCCCCCCCAACTTTACCCCTTCTCCCCTTCTCCCTCTCCCTTTTCCCATCCCTATCCCTCTACCCCACATTTCTTGTTAAATAAAATCCCCGTTGTTAACGTTGGTAGATGGTCTCTTTGGCACCTTCATTCACACACAGGCATCTCTCACTGACCACACTTTACCAGGGGCACACACCTGCACACAGCACTCCAGGTGTGGCCTCCTCAGGGCCCAGCACAGAGGGACAATCACTGCCCCGGTCCTGCTGGCCACGCTGCTGCTGACACAGAAGGCCAGGAGGTCACCGGTCCCCTTTACCCACCTGGGCACACGCGGCTCATGTTCAGCCACTGTCAGCCAGCGCCCCCAGAGCCCTTCCTGCTGGGCAGCTTTCCATCTAATCTGCCCCCAGCCTGGGGCACTGCAGGGGCTTCTTGGGATACAAGGGCAGGACCCAGACCTTGCTCTTCGTGAACCTCATCCTGATGGCCTCACACCATCCATCCAGCCTGGCCACATTTGCTCGCAGAACACTCCTACGCTCCAGCAACTCAACAGTGCTACCCACTTTGGGGTTTTCACACTAGGACATTATCCAATGCAAGGGAATGCAGCCATCAATGCTAGTACCTCTCACATCCTAAGTGAGCACTCTGGCAATTGAGGTAGTTCCCATTTTGGTGAACAAAGCTCATCCACATACTTTTCCTTGTACATGAGTTTAAGGAAGAAGTGAAAACATAAAACAGTAAATTCTACATCAGGCCCAGCCTAGGCAGTCACTTTTTCACCTGTAGAGTGGAAAACAGTGTCCTCCCCCACTGCTGCAGGAGCCAGGACACCCAGAGAGGGTCTGTGTTGTGTTTGGGTGGGATAGAGCTGAGTTACTTTCTAGTAGCTATTATGAAGTATGCGAGCAAATAATGAGGGCAAGAGCCTCCCAGTCTGCCCCCTCTCTGCCCAACAGAGTCTTGGGCTTATCCTCACCTTGAGGGACAATACCTGGAGAGCCCAAAGTGAGGGGAAGATTAATTGCCAGGAATTATCTTACATCCCTGTGCCAAGGGTAGGAGCAGGGGAAGCCTTCTTGATCCCTTCCAGCACCATGGCAGGATGAGGCCTGGAGAGGGACAAAAAGCAGAAACCTCTTGGATGCTGTTGTTCCTTTAGGATCTCCCTTCTCTGCTCAGGGGATGTGACCCATCCCTAGCCCTGGGAGTGGGACTCAGTGATTCTTGTCCAAGAGAAGCAGATCCCTGCTTAGGCTGGCAGCGGGGTGGTGGGCCTGGGCTGGCTGGAGCATGCTGTGGTGGGGGTGAGGACAATAGAGCTGGGCCATTCCTGGAGCTGTTGCTCATTACAGAATAACCCAAACTGGCCTTGGAGTAGTTCAGAACAGCCTGGAGAGTAGCTGCTCCAGCACTGCCTCTACATCCCAGTTTGGACCAACAAACCAGTATCATCCCTCCCCCAGCCCAGTCTGCCCAAGTGGGGCCAGTCCCTGCATTCTCCAGGCTTTGCAGCAGCTGGAGTATCTCCCATCCTGGGGAGTGGCACACTGTCCCCACATCCATTGGCACATGGTCACTGTGTCCATCACCAGCCAAGACCTCGTGCAGTCCCAGCCCCCCAGCCCCCAGCAGTGTCAGCCTGGCTGTGTAACACTCATTGCACACAAAGCTCACTGGGGACATGGGCTGTGCCTAGGGGATTTCATCATCTTCCAGTTAACATCCCACATCCCCTCACACTGGGGTCCCATGTGCTGGGCAGCCCTTCACGTCCCAAAAAGGGGCTAGAGGCAGCCATCCAGCAGGGCCAGAGATGAGTTTCAGCAGGAAAGTGGGCCAAATCCTGGGGACAAGAGTGGCTGGTGGTAGCATTCTGTGCATCTGTGCAGCAGTATCCCTGTCCTGACAGCTGGGGTCACCCACTGCTTCCATGAGCAGGGGACCTGTGCCAAGACACCAGGGAACTCACCATGGAGAGGGAAGGAAATGCCAGGAGGAATTCTGCAGGTTACAGTGGCAGACAAAATGGATGCAGACAGGTTAGGAATGCACATCAGGGCAGGAGGATGGGTTTAGTTCCATTTGCTTCCAAAAGAACTCAACTGGCACTGAAGGAAAATGGGGTCTGCTCCCATGAAACCCCCCAGCAGCCTGTGAGCACAGGCTGGGAGGCAGAGGAAGGAGCTGTTTCCTCCCTCCCTGCATGGCCCTGTTGATCACAATAGATCACAGCCAGCACATAACAGCCTGAATACTCAAGTGGCTTCCATCTCCGCAGCTGGGTTATTTCTGGAAGCAGACACTGCCATCCCCTGGTTTGATCAAAGAATCACAAAACAGCTCAAGTTGGAAGTGACCTACATGGATCATTGAGTCCAACTCCCTGCTCTACACAGCGCCTCCAAAAACTGGATCACAGGACCAAGAACACTGTGGGCTCCTGGCAGGTCTCTCTGCTCCCCTCAGGTCTTTCAGGTCAGGAAATTAGGAAAAAGAAACAATAGCAAAAAGGAGCTGAACAAACATTAGCCTTGAGGTTTCCAAGAAACAGGCAACATTTCCCTGAGAGAGAAGAGAAGGGGATGGCAGCAGAAGCTGGACACAGAGTCTCAGACAGAGGCTGACCAACGCCAACAGCAGCACAGCCTTAGGGCCAGAGAGGGATGGGGTGTGCTCAGCCCAGTCACTCACAGCCTCCCTTCTCCTGCCAGGAGCAGCTCCTGCTCCCTTTGCCAGGAGACAGTGACTCAGAGAGGCAACTACACCTGATAAGCTCTCAGCTGGCAGCAGGGCAGAGATGGGCTCTGAGGAGCTCGGAGGGTCTTTCACCTGTGCCTTCCCACCACCAAGAGGCCCACAGGAAGTACCTGAAACTCTAGTGAGAACTGAACAGGACCTCACAGTGCTGTGACTGCAGGTCCATTACCACAGCCAAAATGCTGGAGCAAAGCTGAAATAGTCAGTGAACACCTAAAAAACAGCTAGGATGACAAAACCAGGTTTAAAAGGTATGCCAGGAATGAAAATCAATGAAGACAGCATCAGGTGGGCAGCAGGTTGGTGCAGCTGGTTCATTTCTGCAGCCAGGAAAAGTTCATGAATGTCTTTGAATTCAGTAAATTCCTGTCACTTACCCCAAGAAGTCTGATTGAGCCAGGGGAGGAAAGAAGGGACCTGAATGTCACAGATATGGGGCTCAAAAGGGGACGTGATACAGCAGAAGCTTTCAGAAAGGAGAACATGCAGAGAGAAAACCCCACTAGGCAATTATTACAGCACACAGAGAGGATGGAAATCAGTGCTATCATTATTCTTGAGTATCAAGTTACAAGGAAAAAGAACAAAGTACAGAGGCCAGAGTATCAATATAGTGTTTAATATTCTTAAATAGATACAAAAGCTAAAAACATAAAATTTCTGTTACCATGATATGATAAAAACTTTTATCAGCAGAAATATTGTACAGTCACAAAATTTCTACTCATAATATTTTCCAGTTGTTTATACCATTCTGTTTAGCCCTACACTGGTTTATATTTATTAAGAAAAGTAGCAGCCCATTTTGTCTGTCTATTTACAGTCCTTTAGACACTGTTTTCCACTCTTCACTGATGTAGATAAAACTATTGTGCACAGATTTATTGTTTTAGTTGCAGATAAATGCAGGAAAACCACTCTGCATCAGGCACCAATCAGGGAATGCTGCTCTGGAGACTCTTCCAGGCTGCAGCCCCTGGTGCTTGCTCCACGGATTGAGGAAGGGTTACAGAATTGTGCAAAATTTAAAAATTAAGCAGGGTCTACCCAAAAGAACAACAGTTGTTCTAATTGCAGAAACAGGAACAGAAGGGAAGAGGGGCAGAGGTTGGTCTGCACAGGGACCGAGAGGTGGTTCCAAAAGCAAGTATAATATATACAGAAATTAAATAAATTAATGCTTCATATAAAAAAGAATCAGTTTCACAAACTGTTCCCAATGACAAGTGTTGTGCATTGTTTTCAAAGAAAAAATACATTTAAAAACTAAAATATTAATTGGAAATACTTTGCTTCAGCTGGAGGAGCTTTCAGTGCTGTTGGGGAGAGCCTGTCTGTGCTCACATTTTAAACAAAACAGCCCCAGAAATCCCACCAAGGGTAAGGGACACTGTCCACCTACAGCTCTGAGCTCAGAAAGATGATCACAGTGACAACTCTAAGTCCCAATGCACTTGGTTTTTTCCTTTCAGTGTCCTTTTCCACCTATTACAGGCTATAAAGACATCATCAAATCCTTTTTTTAAGCAACCTTGCACTGCTGAGAGAGACCTCCCATGGAATTACTGAGCTGGCTCTGGTGTTCCCAAGGCAGGTAACCCCAGCCCTCCATAGCACCTCATGTCCAGTTCCAAGAGAGTGACCTGTCTTCTCCCATTTCTGTTCCTCTGCCAAATGTGCAGGAGCAGGACAAGGTGTGAGGGGAGATTTACTTTGATTTCCATTTTTTACAACACAGGGACGGAAACCAAATAAATACAAGACAATAACACTGGCGGGTGGTTGAATTAGATGCAAAATGCTGAAGTAAACACAGTCCCAGATCTTTGCCTTTCCCCACAGGAGGCAGATACATTTGGAATAGTGTGACTATCCAGCCTTCCAAATGGCAATCTTCCCTTCTTCCTTCCCAGAGCCACTGAGGACGTACCTGTCCTCTGCCGAGCACAGCGCCTTCACCGCATCGGCGTGGCCGACCAGCTCCTTCTCCACACTCTTCCTCTCAGCACTGACCACGTAGATCTTCCCTTTGCTCTTGCCCTGCAGCCTCCCACTGCTGCCAACCCACAGCTGGGGGAAAAAAACAAATCCACAGCCATTTTCTCTCTTTCACATTTCAGTCCAGGATACAGTCAAGGAGGTTTATGTGGCACATTGGTACAGTGAGGGTTCCCTCATGCTTGGCTGGAAAAGGGAAACACTGGAAATTTCCTCATCGATATCAATAAGGGGCTTGGCCACCATTGCTCCTGGCCCCCTCCAGGTCTCCTCTCAGCTCCTGTGGCATGAGCTGAGGGCTCCTGGTGGGTGTCTCTGCTCCCCTCTGGTTCCCTCAGTTCAGGAAACCCCCTGTGACCCATGCTGGAATGTTCAGCTGCTGATCGTGCTGGCAGGGGCTGCTCTCCCTTACCCCTGTGTAAGGCACAGTGTGCCCTTGCACTGCAAGAACAGGGAAAATCCAGGGAAGAGCAACAAAAACTGTCAAGAGAAAGGAACTGACTTTGTTGTTGCATGAGCAAAGATCAGAAAATGTTGAATGAATGGCTTAGGTTGAAGGGGACTTTAAAGATCTCGTTTCAACCCCCTGCCGTGGTCAGGGACAGCTTCCACCAGACAAGGTTGCTCAGAGCTCCATCCAACCTGGCCTTGAACGGGATGGGGCAGCCACAGCTTCTCTGGGCAGTCTGTGTCAGGGCCTCACCTCCCTCACAGGGAGGATGGATAAGACTCCTTAGGTTGGAGAGAAGGCAGCTAAGGGGCCTTTACAAAAGGTTTACAAACTAACAGATGTGCAGATAAGCTGAATGTAGAACAACTGTTCCACCCTGAAATTAAGGAAGTTAGGGACATGTGGGAACCAGCAATAGTTCAGTTTCACTGAGAAGAAAGTACTTCTTTGTACAGAGCTGGCAGTGAAATTCATGAACCTGCTGCTCTCCAGGGAACTGTGGCACCAGAAAGTTCAAAATTAAATCAGAGCCACAGAGACTTGATCAAATAATAGGCAATAAAAGATATAGGCTGAGGTTCCAGACAGAACACATCCCATTTCAGACAGACACAGTATGCAGGATGGGTTTCTCTCCAGTTTCCTAAAGAAAAGTAATGGCTTGTTTTTAAAGCCTGTGACTGACATCCCTACCAATCTTGTTGTCAGCCTTTGCCAGGCTGCAAGTTCACTGTCCATAACTTATTGCTGTGTAGAGGGAACAGAAGTGTGAATGGTGGCACAGGAACCTGTCACCAGTGGTGCCCCCCAAGGGTCAGTACTGGGCTCGGTATTGTTTAACTTATTCATAAATTACTTAAAGAAGGGAAGAGAAAAGAACCAAGTTCTTCAGCAGAACAAAAGAGAGCTTAATGCCTTGGGGGTTCCAAATAATCCTCTCACTCCCTTGAAACACAGGTTAAATATGTCAATCTCTGCCTTGGGGAAGAATATCCTAAAATGATTTTCCATTTTAGTACAAAATCAAACCAAAGGCTGAATACAGAGAAAACTTCCCTATTCCATTTTAAAAAAATAATTTTTTAGGAAGGAGAGAAAATCTGAGAAAAATATTCCAGAAGTTGCTTTCCTAGCAACTTTTAGCTATTACATTATATACATTAGCTATTTATTTGCAAAGTTACTCTGAATGGGCCACTGTGGTAGTACAACTACAGTCATTTGCACAGCTCCTGATAAAAGCAGGTACACAGAGGCCAACAGTGACAGGACACAAGATGCTGGCAGGAATCCATTGGGTCCTTTGGTCTGTCCTGAATTAAGATGTGGTAACTAATCAAGGAAAAGGTCATCTACAAAAACAGGCCAATTAATTGGCATTTGTTGTTTGTCTGGTAACCTTTTTTCAAGGCTGTCTGAGAGAAGCCCTGAGATAAAATATCAAAGGACCTAAACTTTCAGTTTCTACAGTTTTCTGGAAATGTCAATGGCTAATAAATGTCACCACACATTTAATTACTGATGAGGGGCTTGGCTTGCCATCCATTTTGGGGTATACCTTCAACACCCATTTGTGTTGGGCAGTCTTTAGCTTCTCTGATTTCAAAGAGGAATTCCAAACCTTGTGTACTTATGCACCCACCCCGTGAGAAAGCAATGACAGCCCATGATAGCTGCAACAAACAAAACCTCAGTAAAGAAATCCACAAGAGGCAAAAGCAGCCCAGACGTCTCTCACCTGATTTTTAACTCTTATCATACAAGTAATCTCAGAGCAATCCTGAAGATGAATCTTTTGAGGTGTGTTTGAAAGGTCTTTGGTGCTCCAAATATACAGGTCACTACTCCCAGAGTAAGATGCCCACACTTCATCTCTCTAAAGCACAGAAAGATACATTTAAGCACTGCTAACTATGTATGAAATGTATCAAAAAATATATTAAAAATGTATCAAGATAACCAGGGCATTTAATGCCACATGTTTATGACATCATTATATCATGTTATGACACATGGTTTAAACTGTATCAACAGAGTAAGTGCAATACCTCGGGAAAGAGCTGGAAGCCAAGAAAAGAGGAACACACATCCTTCAGATGGTGCTCGATCTTCATCTGCGGTTGAAACTCGTGAGTTGACACTACAAGAATGCAACTTCTGGTACCTTCAATATTAAAGATACAGAGTTAGCGGTAAACTCGTGAGTTGACACTACAAGAATGCAACTTCTGGTACCTTCAATATTAAAGATACAGAGTTAGTAACAGAAGTGTCCACTTCTTCCATATCTACAAAACATGGATGAAAAAAGCAAAATAAAATGGAACAACCAGCAACTTGTTTGTGACAGCACAACTGTCCTGTTTCTTTATGTGAAGATGATTTTTGTAATTATTATGGTTTCAGGAAGGGACTTACAGCACCACAGTTGGTCATTATGAAGCTTCATAGAGGTGAGATTTTGGCAGGGCAGCTGAAAGGCATGGTTCACTTTGAGAGTGCTGATGTTCCAGGCAATCACCATTCCATCTAAACTGCTGGAATACGCTTCACTGCCGGCACAGATTAAAAAAATAAGTATAGTGTGCTTTCATGTTCAGAAAAGAGTGCACACACAGGAGAGACTTACTTGCAAAATAACCAATTTTACAGTAAGCCAAATTAATGTTCATTTTTTAATTATCTTTGAGATTATCCTTTAGAAACTCTGTAACTAGAAACACTGCAGGCTAACTGAGTGTTCAGTGAATGAGAGCACGTTACATCCTCAGCAAAACAAAACTTTCCCTATAATTTTTCTGAACAATCTTGCCTGATGGATTTTCTATTGAGTTAGAATAAAAATATCTCAAACTGTTCTTCTTTGTTACTGCACCTGAGAAAACAAATTATACTATCCCTTTTCTTTTTACCTTTAACATTTGTTGTCTTAGAATGAGCAAACATTTTTCAGAAGGTTCCAACAACACTTAAACAAATTCTGCCTGAAACCCAGTTACACCTGCTGTACCACTGACAGACTTATTGACCCTGCAGATGCTTTTCCCATGGGAAGACAGCAGGTTAAGACCTTCAGCCAACACTCTTCCCAGTGCTACCAAAAGATCAAGAGCATATTGCCTGAACAAACAATAATGTACTATTTATTTTATTATCAGGCAGGAAAAAAACAGAAGCGTGCTGTAAACATGCAGTCAATGACATGCTCAAAGCAAAAGTGAAGTGGTCTTTAAACTGCATCTGTATCAATTCTTCACTGGATCCTGCCAGTTCCTGGCTGTTTTCATCCTCGTCCAAAAGAGCATTCCTTTATCCTCTTTGCTCCAAACTACACAGTGCTCTTTATTTTAAAAGGAAATTCTTAGCTGACATACACAATATGGGAACTACACAAATGCGTTAAATGAAGACTTTATTAGCAGGATAAATCCTCACATTTAAAATAATAAATTCTTTCAACATTTAGGAAAATCAAATTAGATCTACCTGGGTGTTCCATTCTTCTTGTCCACAATGATGTCCGTAACATCAGAGCGATGATCATTCAGTTGTTTATTACAAGACATACTGTGGGTGTTGATGATATAAATAATGGAGTCCTGAGAACCAATCCACACTTGACTCTGTTCCACCATGACCATGCAAGTCTGGGGAGAAAAAGCTGAGTTAAATGAAGCCTAGAAGAGAAATCAGTCTTTAATGTAGCATGGAAAGGCTGTATTCAGTTGCTACAGTTTGCTGGTGATCACTGTAGGAGATGACAACCTTGCTCTCCCTTGCTATCCTTTGCTCTGCTCTATAAATAAGACAGATCTCTTTGCAAAACTTATCCTTCAGTAAATAGGATTAATAATTTATCTTAGGGACTGACTAAACATGTGCTTCCTGGCCCAAATGAAGTAAAAGTTACAGATGAGATATGGGGAACCTCAGAAATTAGTGTGCTCCTTTCCTCTGGACTGGAAGCCAACCTAATTCAATATATCTACACTTCCTACTTCATCTAAAAGTAGTGTTTAAGAAAATACTGTCTCCTCTACTGTCTCTGGAAT